CCTCACTTAGAAACTTACTAACCAAAACAAAACAAAAAGTCAGCATGACACAAGCATCACATTCAAACCCCCTTCTCTGTTCCCTATGTATATTATTTGCTCTGATCTTTGAAAAGTTTCCCAATTTGTTATTACTTTAGCTCACCAAATGGGGAGTCAGAAATATGTTGATTTCATTTCTCATGCAAATGTCAGAAACCAGTGCACAGTTCCTAATTAGAAGGCTGTACCAGCCAGGCACGGTAGCTCACACCTGTAATCCCAGCACTTTGGGAGGCCGAGGCGAGCAGATCATAAGGTCAGGAGATTGAGACCATCCTGGCTAACACTGTGAAATCCCATCTCCACTATAAATATAAAAAATTATCCGGGCAGGGTGGCATCTGCCTGTAGTCCCACCTACTTGGGAGTTGAGACAGGAGAATCACTTGAACCAGGGAGGCAGAGGTTGCAGTGAGCCAAGATTGCACCACTGTACTCCAGCCTGGGCAACAGAGCGAGACTCTGTCTCAAAAAAAAAAAAAAAAGACTGTACCATACAAATTAGCACAAACAAACCTTAACTTCAACCCCACAGCAACTGATCTGCTGATGGGCCTTCCACTTTTCAATTTAACATTACTGACTGAGTGCCTACAATGTACTAGGCAAGTGCTGAATGACCTAACAGCATATAATGATCAACAGAGATGCTGATTCACAAAGTGGCTATTTCATTTCTCTCAGAAACTAAACTACTCATTCAGAAAAAAATAATTTAAAAAGTAATTACAAGACCTGGTGAGTCTCCGATTGAACATTCTTGATTTACTATGTCTCAACGATTGCCTCATGAGAACTTTACCAATATCTTGAAGAATATTCAAAGCAGGTGAGTTTTTAAAATTACAACTGTAATTCTAAACATTGTTGCCTCAGACAGAAAACAAATTACTTAATGAATGTTTATACCTACACCTGTCCAATCAATTTTGCATCGTCAATGAGGCCCTACCACCCTCAGGTGTTTGAGCTTCTTATGTTACCACCCCTTTCTTTTTGAGATCCTCTTTATTATTCCCCCCCAACGTAGTTTGGATGTCTGTGCCCTCCAAATCTCATGTAGAAATGTGATCCCCAACACTGGAGGTGGGGCCTAGTGAGAGGTGCTTGGCTCATGGGGGTGGATCCCTTATGAACAGCTTGGTGCCCTCCCTGAAGTAATGAGTGAGTTCTCGCTCTATTAGTTAATGGGCGAGCTGGTTGTTAGAAAGAGTCTGGCACCTCCTTTCCTCGCTCTTGCTCCCTCACTTGCCCTGTAAGTTGCCTGCACCCCCTTCTCCTTCCACCATGAGTGGAAGCTCCCAGAGGCCTAAACAGAAGCAGATGCTGGTGCCATGCTTCTTGTACAGCCTGCAGAACCAAAGAAACCTCTTTTCTTTATAAATTACCCAGTCTCAGTACTCCTTTATGGCAATGCAAAAATGGATTAACACACCCCCACTGTCTCCTGCCCAGCCACTTCTTGTATTTAAAAGAGGGCTAAGTCTTTTGCACAAAATTCTCACTGTACCCTCCACAAAATTGACCAGGCTGTAAACCCCATAACAAGATCCCCGCTGCATCCGTTACCTAGCACAAGCACTGACAAGCACGAAACAAACCCTCGTTCAGCGAATGGAGGGATGAATCCTGTTAGATAGGAATGGTTATACTCATTTTGCAGACGACGATATGGAGGGCCAGAGAGGGGCGCTTGCTGCAGAGTGGTAAAACTCCTCAAAACCAACTCTGCAGTGCATGCAAGCGGCATGGAAGCTCGGGGTTCAACTATGCTGCTTGCTTCGGAAACCGAACATCTGGGTTCATTTTTTTTTTCTCCTAGCCACTCCCACCAGGGACTGGGTTCCTTCTATCTTTGGCAAAAAGGGGCTAAAGCTTGCCTTGTGATGACATTAGATACGGCCGCCAGCGCTCCTGGCTTACAAAATTAGCTAACATTTACTGGGTGCCTACGCAGCTCCGGGTACTGACACAGGCGAGTTTAACACCGGTAAGCTTCACGGCAACCCTGTGGTCTACACCAAGGAACTCCGAGTCGCAGAGCCTGGTGCGGGCCCCGCGGCCAGAAATGGTCCATCGCCCTCCGCAGCCGGCTCCGTTAACCACCACGCTCCCCGATCCCTCCAGGGTTGGGGACACCCCAGCCGCCATCGGGATGCGACCTGCCGCCCAAAGCCCCGCGAAGGCACCCAGCGAGCGCCGCCCTCCATCAGCTGCTTCGCCCGGAAGCCCCTGCGCCCGCGACCCCGGGTCCGACGTCACGCGCCCCCGGCCCCGCCCCGGTGACGTTCCGAGGCCCGGCGCCCTCCGCCCGCCGCTGCACCTCCGTGCACACCCGACCTGTGCAGCCGGTGGCTCGCGCTGAAGGAGATGCCGCGGGACACCTGCGCCTTGGGACGACGGCCGCCACCCACCGCGCTCATCTTCCCGGCGCCCTCTACGCCGCTCGGCCTGCACCTTCTCCTGCGGCGCGGCCTGCGCCTCCCTCCACGGCTGCGCAGTGCAGGCCGGCGCCCCCCTGGGGAGCGCGGCTCCGCTTTGGCTCGGGCCAATCCCGGCCTCGGGAGACAGTTACGCGCGTCCCTAGCTGTTTAAATCTCTTCCGAGACCGAGTTCCGAGAGCTAAGCCTACCCTGGAGCGGTCACGGTGGGTGGGGACTCGGTGTCTTTGATCTGTTTGTCTGCTCCGCCTGCGGTCACGCCACGTGGTTAGGGCCCGTCTGCACACACTGGATCCTGAGCCACCTCTCTGAGCCTCCCCACCCACTCTCTCCTGTAAAGCTCCAGTGGCTGGTGACTATCGGATGAGCCCCAGGGCCACAGTCCGCTTTATAAACCAAAAGGAGCGGGAATTGAGCCAGGCGGGCGAGGTGGCGCACTCCTGTAGCCCCAGCTGTTGGGAAGGGGAGGGATCCCTTCAACCCAGGAGTCCGACTTGGGCAATAGAAAAAGACGCTCGTTTCTTTTAAAAAAATTTTTTTGAAAGAGCAGGACTTGAGATCATGAATAGGACCACGTGGCAACAGTCCTTTGTGGTCATTATATGCTGGGGTCCGGCACGTCTGCCGGGGGACTACCGACCTGCAGGAGTCCCCGAGACCGCCAATGTAGATGTCTCGTTCAACCTGAGGGAGAGAGTGCGCGGAAGTGAAAGAAAATAGAAAAGCGGAGTCTGGAGGGCTTGCTTAGGCTATGTCCAAGCAGCAATTTTATTTTTGCAATACGTTTCATTATATACTTTTCTGAAGTCAAAAGTTGTTTACGCCAGATCAATGTACTTAAGTTACAGTAAACAAGTTATGCCCAGTAAGTAAGTTAAGTCCAGTAAGTAGGTTAAGTTGCAGTCACACCCTGTAAGCTATGGTAAGTTAAGTTACACTCAGTAAGTTAAGGTAAGTTACCAAGTGTAAATACTTAAGTTAATATTTTACAATGAAGGTAACAAGGGTCCAAAATGAACACAATCAAGCAATAAACCATAAGGAGGCCAGGTGCAGTGGCTCATGCCTGTAATCCCAGCACTCTGGGAGACCGAGGCGGGTGGATCACGAGGTCAAGAGATCGAGACCATCCTGGTCAACATGGTGAAACCCCATTTCTACTAAAAATACAAAAAATTAGCTGGGCGTGGTGGCGTGTGCCTGTAATCCCAGCTACTCGGGAGGCTGAGGCAGGAGAATTGCCTGAACCCAGGAGGCGGAAGTTGTGGTGAGCCGAGATCGCGCCATTGCACTCCAGCCTGGGTAACGAGCGAAACTCCATCTCAAAAAAAAAAAACCACAAGGAGCCGAACGTGGTCACAATGCCTTGCAAGTCCTCATATCCATAAAGTAATGTCTGTTAATTATTTTGAATAACATAGTCCCTCTCTCAGTTCCTGCTTTCCCTCAGCTCGACTCCCCCAACCAGGGATCTGTGTCCGGGCTCAAGCTCACCGTATGGTGAGGCCCATTTCCTAGGGGCCTCACATAGGAGCAATCCCCACAGATTCCCTCAATTATACTGTTGTGTAATGATTCTTGTTAAGGGAAATTCTAAAGTCATTTTTATCCATAAGCGTGTATAACCCATTTATCACTCTGGGTTGGCACGGTGTGAACACAGGCACCCCTGAACACATATTAGCAATTTTCCGGCCAGTGTAAGACACGTTGAGAGTGAAAGAACCTTGTTTCCTCACATCTACTCACAAGGGTGTCCAAACTACACACGGTTCCCAGAATCATGTCACCTCTTGCTTCTATTCGTTCTTTCATTAGATATGTATTAGGCAGCTTCTATGTGGCTGGCATTGTGCCAAGTACTGGGGAGGACAGCTCCAGTGTGTATGAGAAAAAAATCAAATGACGAAAAGCAGGACAGGTCAGTGATTAGTAACAGACTTGGAAAAGTTTCCTGTAAAAGGAAAGATAAAATCATGGAAGTGATAGAAATAAGCTCAAATGGGGGTCCAAAGTGGCTCCGGCCGGAGGTCGTGGCACTTGCGAAGGCGAGGTCATGAGTTCAAGGCTAACCTAAGCAACCTTAAAAGCTCACACCGATTGGCAAAATAAATAAATAAATAAATAAACTGAAATGGTGATTTCCTTCCAATATCTCCTATTTACAGCTGTATATTCTGTTTGTTCCGCATTAAACTACTAACATGTTATTTAGCAAACATCCTCTCTACATTTTCATATGTTTGTCTCATCTACCCCATGGGACTGTAAAGAAAAAACTTCAAAGAAGATTCAGAGATTTTGGAGACAGAGACTATTTAGTTCAATACTTTCACTTTACAGATAAAAAAAATACAGCCCCAGATAAGTGAATTACTATTGCAAGATCACTCAGAACAGAAACATTATCTCCCAGGTATTGACTGTCTCAAAGCTAACTTCTCTCTAACAGTCAGTGGTTACACAAATAGTTGCTCATTCCAAAACCAGTTTAATGAATCAAAATGAAAGAGAAAATTCTGTAAAATTATTTTTATTAATAATACTGGTTTGTTTTAGTAAAATATTTCACTGCATTTGCAGAGTCGAAGTTTAACCTACTTGGAAATAGGATTGTCGCACATGTGTTGAGATGGGCTGTAATCCAACATGACTGATGTCCTTGTAGAAAGGGGAAACTTGGACTCAGAGACTGACACGTACAGAGGGAAGACGATGCGATGACACAGAGACAACACCATCTCCAAGCCCAGAAGAGGGGATTGGAACAGATCTTTCTTCAGAGCCCTCAGAAGGGACAAACTAACCTTGATTTAGCCTCCAGAATTGTAAGACAATTCATTTCTGTTAGGACCTCTGTGGTACTTTGTTATGACGGCCCTAGCAGACTCACACACGAACCAATAAGCAGATAACATTCCTCTTAACTTAGCTTTCAGTGCTTTGAGATCAACAGCCATGTAGGTGTAGTTCCCACTTCACTCTTGCAACAGTTACTGGCTTGCGTTTGACTGCCTTGTCTCAGAAGGCTAACTTCTAGTAAAAGATACCATAAGCTACTCCAATGGACGTACACTGGCAAGGCAGGCCCCATATCCATCACCTTCCAGTCCTCATTCACTCAATAAGTAACCAAAAAAAAAGTGTTCAATTAGCATCTACTGAGTACCAAGTGCACGGCTAAGTGCCAAGGGCACAGTGTAACAAACACATGGTCGCCATCCTCATACAGTTCAGGTTAGTGAGGGAGCTAAACACAGAAATCCTGACGAACTAAGCAAGAAAAACAACAAACTCTCCCTCAGGAAGTAAAAGAAGGCTTCAAAGAAGGATAACTTTTGAGCTGGATTTTAAGATTCACCAAGTAGATAAGGGAATTCTAGGAAGAGACAATAATGTAAGCGGAGGAAATGCGTAGGAGTACAGCTTGTTTAGTGCATATCGACAAGTTCTTGGTTACGGTGGGAACATAGTGAGAGGTAAGATTGGAAACATTAATTGGGGACCAAATTATTGAAAGTTCTTGAATGTCATTTAAGTATAAAGGAGACTTCAACCCCTTATCTCCTTCCTGGCTCCCCACAGGAAGGGAATTTTCATCTGCTTGAATCACATTTCCAGGCACTGGTTGGGTCTTAGTTACTCACAGGCAGGCCTACAATGTGTTAAAATACCACACATGGTGTAGCTTACTCTCTGGAGCTATGCTCAGAGGAAAAATAAAACAAAACCCGAGGCAAAGCTCTCTCCTACTCCCCCTGCACCACGGAGGCCTAGGTGCCTGGTTCATATTTCTTTCTACTGCTTCCCTCCTGTGGAGGACCCAACCTGCCCATTTGCCTCTTCCTTTTCCCCTCAGTTGTGCACCACTTGCTCCCCTTCCTTGAAACCTCAGACACTGGCTAGTGTTAAGTGTGGGACTTAGGGAGAGGAAGAGGCCTAGCCTATGCTTTGGGCCTTGGTCATATGCTCACTCAATTTTACCAGAACTTTCTCCCTTGGATTACCAGGCAAATGTACCTAGATTATAACATGCCATTGATCCTTTTTTTTGTTTTCTCCTTCAAGAAACTTAAAAGAGCAGAGCCAAGGCAGAATTCAGGTATCCTTACATCAAAACGTTACGATTATAATGCTATCCTTCATATGTCTGAACTTCATTCCCTGTGTATTAAGATAGAGATTTATAAACAGAGGAAAGATGTGACAGATCTATGGACTCCCCAGAGGTCATCCAGTCTCCCTCACCCTTCAGATCTCATAAGACCAGTCAAATCTCCATGTTTTGTCTGAGGAAGTACAATGAATGCCTTTTCAGGGACTTGTGTGAAAGGAAACACTTGAGGACTTACACTCTCATGGTTACCTGAGGCTCTTTGCTCCTGCATCTGCTGTATTAGTTCTGTTTAGGCATCTTCTTGCCATCCTAAACATGCTGCTGTGTTCTCCATCTCACAAAGCCAGACATGGAACTCAGCCCTTTTACTTCATTGCCACAGTGCAAAGCCCCACACGTGGCATTTGCATGTATGGAACACATCACTAAGAAGAGAGGGTCTGTGAAGTCTGAAGTGACGCTTAAGGAAAGTTACACAGGAAACTCTGTCAGTCCAGGACGGTGCAGAGAGCCTAACCATGAGTTCACAGGTGCCCCATATTATATGTGGGGGGTCTTCTCTAGCACATTCACCATGCAGAAGGAGCATAAACAGTTTGGTCCTGGAATGGAGTTCAGTGGAGGGAAGTGAGTGTAACTGAAGGAGAAGGAAACAAGGGATTTTTGGGGTGTTGGCAAGAGTGTGGTTTAAGTAACAGACCGGGCCTGCTTACAGCTGTTGGTAAGAACAGGCAGGGTTTAGAAATGTGGAGATTATATGGTCTCTAGTGCCACCTGTTGCCCAGTTAAATGAAGAACGACTGGCTTGTCATCAATCCCTGTAGAACTATACACCTACAGATTAGAAGCAATGTCTGATTTTAGTGATGTTCCTCAAAATAATCTCCCAAAGCAGAGCTGACAGCGGGGGAGGGGCAGGTAGTGGGTGGCACATAAGAGGGCCAGGCTACTGCAGTAGCATCTGCGGATGGCAGAAGAAGAACCGGTCAGAAGAAACCTCCGAGCAAGATACAGCCAGCTTCCTGTCTTCCGAGTACCTTACGACCAATGGTAATAGGCAGACTGTGATGGAAGAACAAGGTGCTTTTCAGATGTATATTCAAAGTCTACTATCTATGATCATTTGTATTTCTTATCCTAGGACCTCTGTCACCCACCGATCTGATGGTGGAAATTGACAGACCAGGAGCACGATTATTTAGGACAAACCCCCACTTTAAGCCTCATGCATTTCAAAGAAATCACTTCTCTTCTAACTACAAGCAGACAGTAAAACACAAATAAAACAGCTCAGGATCAGAGGGAAGTAGGGGGAAAGTCTCTTAGGTAACTGCCAAATTTCAACCTCATACAATGAGCCCCAGTAAAACAGTGGGACTTAATAAGCACATTCCTTTCCCTTCAGGTGAACTAAGATAAGGAAGCTAAAAGCAGACTTGTGGGGTATGCCTACGGCTGCAATATATATATATTATATATATATATATATATATATATATATAGAGAGAGAGAGAGAGAGAGAGAGAGAGAGAGAGAGAGAGAGAGGAACAAACACACACCTCTCCCTCCAAAATAAGTACAACAAAGAAGCACAGAAGCAGTCCAAGCCTCTGGTAAACTCTCCCACCCTAAATCCTTAAAAACACTTAGTCTGTAAAAAAGTGTGCCTCTAACCTAACCCTGCCAAAAGGCTTCTCTCAGGTTTTCTCTAAAATAAACCTGTCCTAACTGGCAAGTCACCTGTCATGTTTCTTTCCGCTTTCTTTAATTCTTAATGACCAAAATACATGAATTTTTCTTTGATATATTCCTATTATTACCTAGAGGTAGATATATCCAATAAATGAAATTTAAAACTCTCTTCAAAAGGTTATATCAATACTTTCTTATTTCAAGGAAGGGCCCTAAAAATAGATAACATCATAATTATCTTGTGCATTCTGCTTTGGGGTGTTTTTTCTTAAGAAACATGAGTGCCAAAGTTTTACTTGTTCATTTCTTGGCCTACGCTTCTTTGCCATAGTCCTTAAATACTACACAACTGCAGCCAACCACTTTGTGGAGTTTTCCCTCTGTCAGTTTTACAGAGGCCTACCCGTTCCCCTGGTTTCTTGTTGTCATCAGCCTTAATTAGGGTGAGTTGGTGTTCAGCACCATGAGCCTCCACCAACTTGACATACATAGGCTCACTGAAGATGGGTGAGAGCAGACAAAGGTGGGCTTGGTGCTTATCTAAGGCTTTGGCAGCTACACAAATTGCACGTGCTAGGCCGTCACGGGTGAGGGCAGTCGTTTGCATCTCTTGTAAAGCAGTGTTAACATCCGTGACACCTCCAGCCTCCATTGGCCATGATGGTGGGTTAAGGGTAAAATAGGAGGTCATATGCACTCGAGCCTCTGCCATGGCATGACTTGGCAGTGGCAAGGAAATAGTGAATTCTATTTTTAACAGAAATTTTTAAACCAAATGTCTATTTGGGACATTGGTTTGAGAGGTAAGGTGCCCTTTTTGCTCGTCTTTTATATACATAAAAGTGCATTTTTTGTTCTTTTTATTTTTATTTTAGATTCTTGGGTACATGTACAGGCTTGTTACACGGGTATATTGTGTGATGTTGAGGTTTGGGTTTCTAGTGACCCCATCACCCAAATAGGGAACACAGTACCCAGTAGGTAGCTTTTTAACCCCTGCCCGTCTTTCTCCTTGCCCCCCTTTTGGAGTCTCCAGTGTTTACTGCTCCAGTCTCTATGTCCAAGTGCACACTTACTTTAAACCTAGTTTCCAGACCTTGTGGTTGTCCAATTAGGTGGGTATGAAGGTACCATGGAACCCATAAGGCATCTGCACAGGTACCTCTGCTCGGCCCAGCTCTTCAAAGTTCTTGGCATCCAAAACTAGGAGAAAATTGCTTTCATTCTAGAAAAGGAAAGACAATATTGAAAATTCTCTTTTTTTCACCAAAAATTTGCCTGTCTCCTCCACGAGGCTGTAAAATTCCTAGTGGAGAAACCATGTTGGTCAGGCATGCTGGCTCACACCTGTAATCCCAGCACTTTGGGAGGCTGAGATGGATGGATTGCTTGAGCTCACGGTTGAAGAACCGCCTCAGCAACATGGCAAAACCCCATCTCTATAAAAGATACAAAAATTAGCCAGGCATGGTGGTGCACACCTGTAGTCCCAGCTGCTCAGAGGCTGAGGCAGGAGGATCGCTTGAGCCTGGGAGGCAGAGGTTGCAGTGGGCTGAGACTGTGCCACTGCACTCCAGCCTGGGTGACAGAGCAAGACCCTGTCTTAAAGAGAGAGAGAGAGAGAGAGACCATGTCTTACACATCTTCATATCTCTCCCCAGCACCTAGCACAGTGCCTCACCTATACACTCACAAAATGTTGCCTCAATTGCTGAACTGGACTGAAAAGGAAATCATGGCTAAAGAAGGTCGTAACTAGAGCAAAGAAGTTAAGTTGTTTCTGTCAATCACCTTCATAGGATTTCTTTGAGTTTAATCCTTTTGCTTCCTCCTTTCCAATCTTTAAAAGACAGGAACTCTTTCTTCCAAGTTAGAAATGCCTCCATTTCGTGTTACTTCGGAGCTGTTCAAAGGGCAGTATCGCAAGGCAGACCGAGCTCTGCCAGATCTAATTCCAGGAGTGACAAGTACATGGCATGAGGACAAAGTCCTCCTAAAGTCTATGGCAGACATCACTAATTGATCACAGCCTTTTTCTCACTGAACCCTTAAAGGGCATCAGAACCCTGCACCCCGGGCAGCCACTAATAATTAATCAAAGCCGATACTCAAAGTGAACTTGTTTGCCGTAAGATTGCCCTAGACAAGAAGTCAGAGGGTGAATAGTGTTATTGAGACAGTGGACCAGGATTAATGGCATTGGACTTGGAGGTCAATTCACTGAAACTGGCAGCACAAACATTAGACTGGAAGTCAAAAGACTTGGGTTTAAATTCTGGCTTTACCACTGAGATCTGATGCAAGTCTACTTCAACTTCTTCACTTTACAAATTCCACGTGTAAAATGGTGTCCCGCAAAGTTGTTTTGATAACTAAATACGTGTAAGAGTAGTTCATAAATAACAAATTCCTATGCAAATATAAATTGTTATTATGGTCTTACAAACAGAACTTTAAAACAATAAAATATGGATTGAGATAAAAGGGTATGTAAATAGTGAGGGGAAGAGAAAGGAGAAGGAATCAAAGCAACTTTTCGACAGCGTCAGTGCGCATCCTTGATTTATCAGATGACTCTGCTACTTTTCCTTCTGACTAGTGATGGGGAAATCTATTTACCTGGTTGGGAGTGATCACCACAGAAAGAACAACCCCACCATCTTCTTCACTGGTTCCTGGAACTGGAACAAAAATAGGTTCTGAGGGATAAAAGCCATCTTCTCTCCAAACCTGCAAGTCCCAGGAAAAGCATTCAATAAAAGGCCAGTAGTTAAGTAGGGAGCTTTCTATGGCTTTTGTCACTCCAAGCATGAATTTGGCTGGGATATAGTTTGTATGTGTGTCCCATCCAAAGCTCATGTTGAAATGTGATCCCCAGTGCTGAAGGTGGGGCCTGGTGGGAAGTGTTGGGTGATGGGGGCCAGTCTCTTATGAACAGCTTAAGTGCCATCCCCTTGGGGATAAGTGAGCTCTCACTCTATTAGTTCATCTGAGAGGTGGTTGTTTAAAGGAGCCTGGCACCTCCTCCTCTCTGTCTTGCTCCCACTCTCTCACCATGTGACCTGAGTCTCCCCCTTTGCCTTCTGCCATGATTGTACACTTTCTGAGGCCTCATCAGAAGCTGAGCAGATCCTGGTACCATCCTTGTACATCCCGCAGAACCATGAGCCAAATAAATAAACCTCTTTTCTTTATAAATTACCCAGCCTCAGGTATTTCTTTATAACAACACAGAACAGACTAACACAGGCTGTCAATAGAATATTCCAAAAGTAAAAGAATCAGGCCTACTGAGTTGAATGTAGGAGAAAGAGGAGATTTTGCAGTCCCAGATATTCCAGCACCATCAAACACAATTTGTGTCCCATCAACTTTAAACATAGGTGTCCCAACAACCCTAACCCCACAGGTGCTCCCAAAATAACATCAAGGTCAAACAGAGAATTAACTTTGCTGTGCTTGGGGTCCATTTGGATTTCCTAGAAGGAACATACCCTTAACTCAGATGACTTCATAGTTCTCAAACTTAATAAAAGAAAATGACTGCGCTGCTTAAATGTTGAAGAATCTTAAGAGCTACTTTAAATAAAACAAATTCAAAGGGAAGAACAGGTCTCTGAAAAGTTCAAAAAGGAAAGAGATTTTCCTCACCTTCAGTGTCTTATTCACCACATCAACCTTGATCAGAGAATCCCCCAGCAAATGCCGAAAGCCACAGCCATAGAAGAAACGATACTTTTTGCCATTGAATTGGGCATAGTTGATCTGAGGTAATTCAATGCCTCCTTCCTTGTCTAGGTCCTCCTGATATAGATTTTCATGAGAGCACCAGATCTAAGAGAGATTTCAAAAGGTTTTGTAGTGGTTGCTTAATTTTTTTTTTTTTTTTTTTTTTTTTTGAGACAGACTCTCGCTCTGTCGCCCAGGCTGGAATGCCGTGGCGCGATCTCAGTTCACTGCAACCTCCGCCTCCCAGAGATTCAAGCAGTTTTCTGCCTCAGCCCCCGGAGTAGCTGGAATTACAGGTGCCTGCAACCACACCCAGCTAATTTTTGTATTTTTAGTAGAGACAGGGTTTCACCATCTTGACCAGGCTGGTCTTGAACTACTGACCTTGTAATCCACCCACCTCAGCCTCCCAAAGTGCTGGGATTACAGACGATGGTTGCTTAATTCTTATTTTCCTCTTGTGTAGGTCAGTAAGGAGCCTAATACTCTATAAAAGTTTGTGACAGGGCTTGGGAACTGAGGTTCTACGTCATTTTTGAATATTGTTTCTCTTTCCATCATATATGTGGATGCATAATGATTATCAAGTTTTATTAATAAGCTATCAAGTGGCATACGAGATGGACATATGCTTTTCATTATTCTAAAGCTAAGGCATTGACAGCCACACAATGATAGGCCTGTGCTAAGCACATATTACCTAAAAGGTAGTGATTGCAGCTGGACGTGGTGGCTCACGCCTGTAATCCCAGCACTTTGGGAGGCCGAGGCAGGTGGATTACCTGAGGTTAGGAGTTTGAGACCAGCCTGGCCAACATGGCAAGACCCCATCCCAACTAAAAATACAAAATCATTAGCCAGGCATGGTGGCAGGTGCCTGTAATCCCAGCTACTCAGGAGGCTGAGGCAGGAGAATTGCTTGAAAATGGGAGGCAGAGGCTGCAGTGAGCCGAGATGGCACCACTGCACTCCAGCCTGGGTGACAGAACAAGACTCCATCTCAAAAAATAAAATAAAAAACAAAAGGTAGGAATTGCTAATGCCAAGCTCAAATGAATAGACATTCCACAACCATTAGACAGTTGCATATCTCTGTTTCAAAGCACAGGAAGGATAGAAAAACATGTGTTCATCACCACTGTTTCTGCGATTCTTGTGCAAGCAATGTTACATGACCTTACCCTGCTCAGATGCATGTTATAAAAGGTATTGGGTACCAAACATTTTGGAAAACTGCTAATGAATAAAGTAACACCACTGAAGTTCAAAGTCTTAATCTACTGTCTGTTCATAGAATACCTTTCCATCAGCCTGTTTCACAGCACTGGCTGAAGTATAGGACAATGGACTCAGGTTGTCTCCCTTGGGGGCATTCAAACTGACGTTTAAAGGCAAAACAAACCTTCGAGGGAAAGATCTGACTGCTGAATTATAGACCTGTTTTGGAAGAAGAAAGAGATGAAAATTGTCATTCATATGATAACATCTAACTTTTGACTACTCAAAAATTCAACTACTACTAGCCTGTTGTTGACTGGAAGCCTTACCAATCACATAAACAGTTAATCAACACATATTTTGTATGTTATATGTATTATATACTGTATTCTTACAGTAAAGCAAACAGGAGAAAAGAAAATGTTATTAAATGCCAAGCGTGGTGGCTTAAGCCTGTAATCCCAGCACTTTGGGAGGCCAAGGCAGGTGGAACACCTGAGGTCAGGAGCTCGAGACAAGCCAGGCCAATATGGCAAAACCCCATCTCTACTAAAAATACAAAAATTAGCTGAACATAGTGGCAGGTGCCTGTAATCCCAGCTACTTGGGAGGCTGAGGCAGGACAGTCACTTGAACCCAGGAAGCAAAGGTTACAGTGAGCTGAGATCACGCCATTACACTCCAGCCTGGGTGATAGGAGCAAAACTCTGTCTCAAATAAAATAAAATAAAATGCTATTAAAAATCATAATTAAAATATATTTACTATTCATTAAATCATAGGAGATCATCATAAACGTCTTCAGTCTCATTGTCTTCACACTGAGTAGTCTGAGAGGGAGGAAGAAGGGGGGTTGGTCTTGCTATCTCAGGAGTGGAGAGGTAGAAGAAAATTTGCATATAAGGACCCATACCATTCAAATCCAAGTTGTTCAGAGTCAACTGTACAACATCTGACCCCACGATCCCTCTCCTAGGTATACACTCAAATGAGATGAAATCACCACCTCATGAAAATAGCTGCACTCTCCTGTTCATTGCAGTATTATTCATCATAGCCAAGATATATAAACAACCTAAATACTCAGTGGCGGATAAATCGATAAAGAAAATGTGGTATATACACACAATAAAGTATCAATCAATTTTAGAAAAAGAAAACCTGATGTCTGCCACAACATGGATGGACCTGGAGGACATCATGCTAAGTGAAACAGCCAGACAGAAAGAAAAATATTGCATGAGGCCAGGCGCCAGGGCTCACACCTGTAATCCCAGCACTTTGGGAGGCCAAGATGGACAGATCACCTGAGGTCAAGAGTTCGAGACTAGCCTGGCCAACATGGTGAAACTTGGTCTCTACTAAAAATACAAAAATTAGCCGGGCATGGTGACACACGCCTGTAGTCTCAGCTTCTCAGGAGGCTGTGGTAGGAGAATTGCTTGAACCCAGTAGCGGAGGTTGCAGTGAGTCGAGATTGCACCACTGTACTCCAGCCTGGGTGGCAGAGTGAGACTCGTCTCAAAAATAAATAAATAATAAGTAAAAATATTGCATGACCTCATTTTTATGTGGAATTTTTTAAAGAAAATCTCAAATATGCAGAGAAAGAGAATGAAACAGTGGTTACCACCAGAGGGGAAGGGAAGGCAAAGAGAAGATGTAGGTCAAAAGACACCAAACAGTAGATAAGTAGTATGAACAAGTCTAGAGGTCTAATGTACAAAAGTAAGGAATAAAGGTAATAAGATTGTATTTCATTAGAGATTTTTGTTAAGTAGATTTTAACTGCTCTTGTCACACAAAAAAGGAACTCTATGAGATGTTAGATATATTCAGCGGCCTCACTAGAGTAACCATTTTACTATTTACATGTATACCATGACATCATGTTGTACACCTCGAATATAGACAATGAAGTTTATTTTTAAAACAAGAACAAAGACAAAAACTGACAAATGGATTCCAACATTTATAGAAATGCAAAAGGCCATGCAAAACCCAGGCAATCCTAAAACAGAAAACAGATAAACAACTACAGATGTCAAGCCCTACCATGAAGCTACAGTAAGCTTAGTAAGGCAAGAGTAAACTTAATAAGTACCATTTTACAAACATTTTAAAAGAAAACTATAGCTAAAAAATAAAGCTACAGCTAGAACCAATTTACATTACATAATTCAAGGAAAAACTTGACTTTGGATTCAGTATCAGGAAAAAGCGAATCCCCTCAACTAGGTGAACTGATTGATAGTCCACTTTGCTATCCCTTCTAGTAAATTTCGTTAGGTGCTTAAGTGTAATAAGGAACTACCATATATATACAAATATATATATATATATTTTTTTTTTAAGACAGAATCTCGCTTATAGTACAGTGGTGCCATCATACAGCGGTGCAATCTCAGCTCACTGCAAACTCCACCTCCTGCATTCAAGCAATTCTCCTGCTTGAGCCTCCCAAGCAGATATGATTACACATGCCCGCCACCACACCTGGCTAAATTTTTTCATTTTTAGTAGAGACAAGGTTTCACTATTTTGGTTGGCCAGACTGGTCTCAAACTCCTGACCTCAAGTGATCTGACCACGTCAGCCTCCCTAAGTGCTGAGATTACAGGCATGAGCCACCAGGCTACATACGCTTTTAAACACATATCTTGGCTCTCTTTGCCATGCTTATTTATTAGGTATTAAATAAGCTGTCTCAAAGTATTTTTAATATTAAATAAATAAATGATGAAGCTATGTCTTCAATGCTTTGAAACTACTCTCTCTCTCTCATTATTTGCCACAAGGAGACAAGAGAAACATGTAATTCCTATGTTGGGCACGATGGCTCATGCCTGTAATCCCAAGACTTTGGGAGGCTGAGGTGGGCAAACCCTCGAGGTCAGGAGTTTGAGACAAGCCTAGCCAACATGTTGAAACCCCGTATCTACTAAAAATACAAAATAATTAGCAGGGTGTGGTGGCTTGCCCCTATAATCCCAGCTACCTGGAAGGCTGAGGCATGAGAATTGCTTGAACATGGGCGGTGGAGGTTGCAGTGAACCAAGATTGCACCATTGCACTCTAGCCTGGGTAACAGAGCAAGCCCTGTCTCAAAAAAAAAAAAAAAAAGAGAGAGAGACAGAGAGAGAGAGAGACAGAAAGAGAAACATGTAATTCTGAAGCCAAAGACAAATCTTGGAGTTCAAATTATTCTGATCACCTGACAAATTCTAATGTTTACCTGATCAAGCCCTTCCCCAGTCTTCCTGAGATTCTGTAACTGGTAAACATCTAGGGTTCTTCCATTATCTTGACAGCACATATCAATTACAACACAGCCCTGGTCCTCAAAGGCATTGATTTGATGAAATGTAACAAAAGGTATGCTGTAGTATCTCCCTGGAAGAAGCTGCAGACAGGGGAAAACACACACAAACAATGAGAAAAAAAAATGTTTTGGTTCCTTTCTTTTTCCCTTTCCTTTGGGAAACAGGTCCAAAAAGTTCAAAATAAGAAAATTAGGAGAATTTTCCCCTCTGAAGTGGCAGGTCTAGTAGACATAAAAGTAGAATACAGAATGTAGAAGCAAATATGCTTTGATTTAAACGCTGCTTGCTTAAGCATCTCATCTCACAGTAATCACGGAACCGGGGCTATTTGATACAGACCAGTCAACTGTTACAACAAACTTAAAAACCCTCATGAAACACAGCCCAATGTTTTGAAGGATATGTAAATCCTGAATTCTAACCGCATGGTTAAATAGAAAAGATTGCTACTCTATATGCCGATGATAAATTAAGTGACTAATTTTTTGAAAAGTGCAGTCATTACTAAATTGTTTTTTGTAATGAGATCAGGTAAATTTAAGATAACGGTCGCTTTAGAGAGGTAAAACATAGGCGAGTACAATCGTGCTATGAATCAGGAGTATAAAAGGATATTCAACCAACACGCTCGGACTTTAGTAGGACTGTCATATCCACGTACTAAGAAGCCAGAGAATCAACTAATTAAAGTATTACTGCAAATGTTACAGAACATTTCTCCGTGAACAACACCCTCTTTAGCAACAATTATGATATGGAAAAAATCCATGCTAAGAGAGTTTCCTGGATGTCATTTTAATTGAATCAGATCATTAAAAGATCATTTAATTGAATCAGATCATTAATTGAATCATTTTCTATGATTTTCTAATATGCAAAATCCACCGTACTAATTAATAAATAGCTAGTTCAACCTATAGAAGTAGGTAATATCCTTGATTAAAAGTGTCTTATGCAAAGAATGCCCAGGGAAAATTTTAAAAATCAATTATATGGAAATGTGCCTTTGTGGCCAACAATTTTCATGATAAATATACTCAAAATACTCCACCTGTCCAGTGTGTTTATCCACCACATGAAACTGTGTATTACACTGGGGTTCCCAGCTTATCCCATCTGAAAAGGCCTTTCCCCGAATTTTAGAAGTGGCAATTTTCCACAGATTCATCTTTAAAGGCTGTTCAATGAAGATTATATAGTTCCTTGTCATGCCTAAAGAGTTCCAGCAAACAATAAAAACGTTATTTGGCAAACTAGAGTTGTCTGAAATGTGACAGTTACAGGAACTTGTCTGAAAGCCTGGACATGTTACTGCTGCCCTAAACAAATGCCAGCGGGAAATACAGAAATACACATTTACTGTCTCTCAGCTTTACTATACATATCTCCTCTTCCTACGTAGAAAAGGGAACTGCTTAGAATAGCTTGGATTGTCTATTCTCAGCTTGCTTTTTCTCTTTTTTTCCCTTTCTTTTTAAAATGTTTGGTTTAGGAACAAAGTAACAAAGCATAACAAAGTGCCCTTTAAAATCTGTACATGTATCCCTTACTCTTTTTCCTGTTTATACTGGGGGTAAGAATCTAGGGGCAGTTTGGCTATAATGATTTAAAATACAGAAAATAAATATTCTAAGTAAAAGCTGAAGCAATCTATATAGAATATAAATTTCCCCAAAAAAGATAGTCAAGACAATTTTTTCATGTATGATTACTACTTGTGGGCTTTAAGGTTGCCTAAATTTTTAAATTCTATCAATTAATTTTTTAGTAACTGCTTACACTAAAGCAACTACAATACAGCTTTTCAAGCAGTCAGCTGGCTAGGGTCAGGAGTATGTGACCAAACAGAATAACTCAACTGGCATCAAAATGCAACCTTGGTCTCATTATCACCAGAGTCTGATAAACTATTAACATGGCATTTGCCAAACTGGTGCTTCTGCCACAGCAACATCAAGGCAGGGCCCACTGAAATTTGCCTTATCTCTGAACTCACCAAAGCTATGGTAGTAAGAAGGTGTCCCCCTCTCTGCAGAAGCAATGGAACATATCACCCGGGCTCCATGGATTGTCTCCCCAGTGTCCACCTTCTCTGCAGGAACCCGAATAACCTTATAGGAGAAACCTGAAAATTGGAAAATCCTATCTTAACTGTTTTACGTACATTCTAGATTAAAAGACAATTCTTGCACCTGTGGACTTGGCAAAAGCAATTAAGAGATTTAGGCAATATGCATGACACTCTTAATTCCTGAAGGGTTATTTCAAACACAGATTTGGATCTTAAATATCTGTTAGCTCTATGAAAATAATTAGCTAAGGTTTTGAAACAGCACATCCAAAGTGATCAACCAATGATTCATTGTATTACAATGCTAATTTCATCTCTAATTCTTAGGAAACATTAAGATAGCAACCAAGAATATCCTCAAATTCTGTTCCTTCCCTCCCGTCCCCCTATTCCAACAACTACAGTCTCCATTTGCACTCATGTCCAACTCCTTCCCTCCAATCCTCTGGACCCTTAGGGTTACTCTGGATTCCATCCCATCCTGTGTCACCAATATTCTTTCATGCAATTACGGCCATTGCTTACTAACTCTTCAAGAATCAAGTCAGATGTCCACTCCTCAAGAAATCTTCCCTGACTCTTCCCCACCCCAAAGGCATTTGGTGCTCCTACTGTACATCCTCATTACATTCTATGTAGTCATAGCACATATCTCACTGCACTAAATTTTCTGCTTATTTATCTGCCTCCCAGTACAGTTCTTTATTTATTTCTTCTGCAACTACTACTTTTTGTGCACCTACTATATTCCAGACGTCATTCTGAGTGTTCTTGGTACTATATTCTAGGCACTTGTAAACAGAAATATGCAAAACAGACAAAAATCCCCCCATTCCTCCTCCTCCTTCTTTTTCATTTTTTTGAGGAGACAGGGCCTTGCACTGTCACCCAGGCTGGAGTACAGTGGTATCATAGCTAATTGCAACCTCAAACTCATGGCCTCAAGCAATCCTCCCACCTCAGCTTCCCAAAGTGCTATAATTACAGGCGTTAGCCACTGTGCTCAGACAAAATCTCTTATTTTGGAAAGCTCAAATTCTTTTAAATCATATCATAAGTAAAAATACAATGCATCAGATGACAATGAGAACTACAATGGAAAATAAGCCAAGGAGTAAGTGTCAGGAGTGATCATATGAGGAGTAGGAGCTACTGTTGACAACTTTAAATATGCTGGTCTGGAAAAGCCTCACTAAGTGGGTAACATTTGAGTAAAGACCTAAAGGAGGTGAGGAAGAAAGCCTTGAGATATCTGGGAGAAATGCATTTCAGGTGGAGGGAAAAGCAAGAGCACAATTGGAGTGTTTTAAGTATCTGCAAGGAGGCCAGTGTGGCCCTTCATGATAAGTGAGGAGGAGAGTCTAGGAGATGAAGTCAGAGAGGTGGGTGTGGGTTAAAAGGATAACTCTGATGTTACAGTGCCGAAAAGAAACTGAAGTGGGGCAAGGGCAGAATCAGGGCAATTAGTTAAGGGGCTACTACAGTCATTCAAGTGGGAAGGGATGGTGACTCAAAGCAGATGGTGGCCATGGAGGTGGTACGAAGTGGCTGGATTTTTGACATATTTTGAAGGCACTGCTGAACTTATTATTTTTCTGTTTGAGACAGGGTCTCATTCTGTCACTCAGGCTGGAGTGCAGTGGTGCAAGCACGACTCACTGCAGCCTCAGTCTTCCGGGCTCAAGCAATACCCCTACCTCAGCCTCCTGAGTAGCTGGGACCACAGGCATGTGCCACTATGTCCAGCTAATTTTCGTATTTTTTGTAGAGATGAGGTCTTTTTATATTGTCCAGGCTGGTCTCAAACTCCTGAGCTCAAGCAATACGCCCACCTCGAGTTCCCAAAGTCCTGGAATTATAGGTATAATCCATTACGCCTGGCCCTGAAATTACTTTTTGATCAACTGATGTAAGAGATAAATGTAAAGGATGATTCCACAGTTACTGTCCTTAGCAACTGGAAAGATGGAGTTAGTATCTCCTGAGATGGGGAAGACTCACCCTAAGGAGAGAAAGAAATAAACCAGGCAGTGATGCGTGCCTACAGTCCAGCTGCTTAGGATGATCCCTTGAGCTCAGGAGTTCAAGTGTAGCCTGAGCAACATAGCAAGACCCGTTTCTAATTGAAGAAAGAAGAAGAAGGAAGAAAAAGGAGGAATGAGGAAGAAAAAGAAGGAAGGAAGGAAGGAAGGAAGGAAGGAAGGAAGGAAGGAAGGAAGGAAGGAGGGAGGGAGGGAGGGAGGGAGGGAGGGAGGGAGGGAGGGAGGGAGGGAGGGGAGGGAGGGAGGGAGGGAGGGGAAGAGAAGGAAAAAAAGGCAGAGAGGCAAGGAAGAGAGAAGGAGGAGGAGGAGGAGAGGAAGAGGTGGTGGTGGTAGTTTAGGAGAAAATATCAGGAGTCTGGTTTTGGACAAGTTAATTTCATAATGCCTGTTATACATCCTAGGAAGAATGCTGAGTAAGCAATTGGATATAAAATACTGGGGAGGTCTAGGCTGGGGATATAGTTATGTTTTGAGAACCCACTATATACAAGACATCGTGCTTTGTACATTGATGAGAAAAATATTAGACAAGCTCTATATTCCAAGAGTACTTCATTATTGTCTCTAACATTAGTCTGAAGAACATATAAGTATTAAAAACTAACTGGATTGATTAACATTTACAGGATTTTTATTAATTTTAAAAAGCCTTTTAAAAATATCTTGAAAAGCTAAAACAAAAGCTTTTTACTTCCTAAAGGTAGCAATTACTAGCAAGTGCTTTACTGTATTACAGTGAGAATCACTAAGCTTCCGCCAGATGTCTACCAGGTAGCCGAACTCCCGTAGTAGCATGCTGATTGAGTTCCAGGTCAAGAACTTCTCACTGAACCAAATAATCAAGTGAAGGAAAAAAAGGAGATTCAGTGTTCGTTGGGATTAGGAGAAGATAAAGAGAAGAATTTCCTGTCTCAGTATTTGGATTACTCAATTCACGGAATTTAAACACATTAGTTAATGAACTGTGCTAACTGAAAGTCTTGAAAACATTAGGCAAGACAGACGCCCAGGAAACACCCAGCAGAGGAATGTCCAGAAAGGTCGGACCTGCCCAGTACTGTGAGCTGAACTCTGGGAGACTCTCCATGAGTTTGCGTAAACAGCGAACTGAGGCAGAGTAACAAGCACAGGCTCTCATGATTGGTGGCTGAGTTAATCGGTGAGGTCCACGGGCCACTTGCACCAAGATCACCCGGAGACCATGTTAAAATGCAAATTCTAGGCCCCTTTTCAGTTCTACTAAACCAGAATCCCTGAAGACGAATGAAATCCAGATCATTCTATCTACATTCCAGATGATTGTTGGGCACACTGAAGGTTGAGAATCACAGATCTAGTTACTATTATTTTAGAATAGGTAATTTGGGCTGGGTGCAGTGGCTCGCACCTGTAATCCCAGCACTTTGGGAGGCCAAGGCGGGCAGATTACTTGAGGTCAGGAGTTTGAAACCAGCCTGGCCAACATGACTGAAACCCCATCTCTACTAAAAGTACAAAAATTAGCCGGGCATGGTGGCAGGCGCCTGTAATCTCAGCTACTTGTGAGGCTGAGGCAGGAGAATCACTTGAATCTGGGAGGTGAAGTTTGCAGTAAATTGAGGTTGTGCCACTGCACTTCAGCCTGGGTGACAGGGCAAGCCTTCATCTAAAAAATATATATGTAACTTAGAAGGGTGAAATAGTGTTTCTCATATTACGAATGCATTACAAAATTATCTACTTGGTTAACAGAGTTAATTCATTATGAATTGGATTTTTTTAATGATCAAGATAAATGGAACAAAAATTCCTGGGTTCCTGGATCCATTTTGCTGAAACATTTTACGTAGAAGGATGCTTGCTGTTTCCTATAACAGTGTTGAAGAATCCATCCTTACCTGAGATCAAGTAATAAAGAAAGGAGAGAGAGCTGCGTGTAGAGGTATCCAGGGCACCCTCTCTCTACTCGAGCCAGTAAAAAACAAACCTGTAGTATTCATCTTCATATACACTCAGAGATGTAAATACAGAGAAATACAGAGGAGCAAGCCACAAAGCCAATTATATACCAAAGTTATACCATTAACCTATACAAAGATTTCATAGGTTGTAGATGGTAGATTGACAGCTAAGAGAGAGATAGTCAAAAATATATAATGCAGTAGTCCCCCCTGGATACACACTGTTTTTTTCCTTTACATATATACTTATGATAAAGTTTAATTTCTAAATTAGGCACAGTAAGAGATTAACAATAACTAATAAAATAAAATAATTATAACAATATACAGTAATAAAAATTATGTGAATGTGGTTTTTATCTTACAAAATATTGTAATATATTCAGACTGGATAACCGAAACTGTGAAAATGAAACCACAGATAAAGGGGGTCTACTATACTTACTTACACATCCTCTTCAAACAGGGTACTTGAATACATGTGTATTCAAGTATAGAACCTGAATTTGCATGCCCTTAGAAGAGTGAATAGATAGGTGAAAAGGCCTTAACAAGCAGGGAAAGACATGGTGAACAGGTGAAGACTGAATACTAAAAAATACCAATAGAGTCTTCTGCACTCCGTGACGAATAGCTAATGAGATGGTCTCACAGGAACCACCAAGCAAGCCTCGTGTGTGACTCTGAGCTTACTAGAGCAAGTCCTTTAGGCCTCCTCAAGGTTCACTGCCTTTGTCTGTAAAACCAAGGTAATATCAGCATCCTTCTCAGAGATTTGGCACAAGGATTAAATGAGAAAATTTGGAGAAAAATGCTTAACACCAGCACATAGTAGATACTCAATAAAAGTTAGCTATCATTATTAGCTTTCAGAACTTTCAGGAGCAGATTGGAGACCAGGAAAGAGATGATAAGTAGTTGCACCTGCAACCCCACTGTGACCTTAACTTACTTTGTAGTGTATTACTTTCGTGGTAAAAATAAATTTCTTCCCTGTATGATAGACAATGTACCTTCCCTGTATCTCTTGACTGCAACGTTCTAAATTTCTTATATTTATAATATGGTATTTCTTTAAAATTTCAGTTTGAGGCCTGGTACACTGGCTCACACCTGTGATCCCAGCACTTTGGGAGGCTGAGGTGGGCAGATCATGAGGTCCGAATTTCAAGTCCAGCCTGACCAATATGGTGAAACCCCCATCTCTATTAAAAATACAAAAATTAGCTGGGCATGATGGCGCGTGCCTGCAGTCCCAGCTACCCAGGAGGCTGAGGCAAGAGAATCACTTGAACCCAGGAGGTGGAGTTTGCAGTGAGCTGAGATCATGCCGCTGCACTCCATGTTTCATATGTTTGCATCTTAACTATAATTGAACCCCAAGAAGACAGTTAACACCCAATTATTTCTTTTCTCTCACTTTTTTTTTTTTTTTTTTTTTTTGAGACAGGGTCTGGCTGCATTGCCTAGGCTGAAGTGCAGTGGTGCAGTCACGGCTCACCACAACCTCAAACTCCTGGGCTCAAGGAATCCTCCCACTTCAGCCTCCCAAGTAGCTGGGAACATAGGTGTGCCCTATCATACCTGGCTAATTTTTTTTGTTTTTGCACAATATGGGTCTCACTTTGTTGCCCCCTGGTGTCGAACTCCTGGGCTCAAGCAATCCTCCTGCCTTGTGCTCCCAAAGTGCTGAGATTACAAGTGTATGCCACAGCGCCTGGGCTCAATTATTTCTAAAAAGACCTCTACCACAATTTTACCATATGGCCCAAAGGAGTTCCCCATATTGTATGCTGTTCCATCCGGGTCATAGTGAGGATGTGCAGTTGCTCCATTCACAGCAATAAATTTGCTCCAATCTACCTGCAAATTTGAGACCATTGGAGATTTTTAACGGGCAGATCTCTATTTATATGCATACATAGTAGAAATATCAAATGCTTTTTAAAATATGATATGAAAACTGCAGTGTAAGCCTTTATTTCTTGCCTCTGAGAAATAAAAATTATTTTTCCCACTAAAAAAATCGAGACTAAAAACAACAAACAAAAACTCACCACCACTACTAACAACAAAACCGCCCTGAATAAATGTGTCTAATATCGCAGGAAAATTCAAAAGAAGCATAAGAATTGAAATTAAAAATCTAGTCTAGAATTATCTTTTCAATTAATATGTTATGTGAAGGCAATACAGGTATAGACAACCTCCAGTCCCACATTAAGAAGAACAGCAACTAGCTAAAGTAGATCAATATAATTCTATTTCTCCTTCACCCTAGCCTTCAGATATTAGGCCCAAGGAAGAAGTTTAGAATTATCTCTAAGGAAAACCAGCCCACAGGCCATTCTAATCAGGCCAGAGCATAAAGGTGACCTGCATCAATGAATAACTTTATTTTTGTTTTTGTGTGGTTAAGGCTCCGATTTTTTCTTGATATGTACTAGATACTCTAAAAAGTATTTCAAATGGAAAAAAAATGTTAGGATCTATTTTATTCATTTCATTTACCTTTTCTGTTTTCTCCAGAGTTTCAATGTCCACTTTATTCATAAAGTTGGTCTCAGTGGAGAGGTAGTAATCACCCTTGTACTGCACATAGTTGACATTAGTGTTGTCAGTCATGGCTGAAACCAAACCCCAGAGTTATTTAAGTACCACGGCTTACTACAGCAGATGCTAAGCACACACTCACAGGGAGAAAGCAGTTTCAACATCCTCTTACATACACAAAAAAATCTACTTTCAATATTTATGTTTGTATAGATGGTCATACATCAAAATACTTTCAATAATCATGACTATCACCTGCGGCTTACCTGGCGGCTCAAACCTGGACAGGAAACGTTCAAAAACACTCTTGCAGGGATCTGGGAGAGCCAGTGTGCCAAATTCTGAGATTACAATTCGGTTTTGAGCACTATTAGCCTTATATGTATCGCTCTGTAGAAACTTGCTCCTGTATGTCACTGTGCCCTCTGCCATCCTGAACTGGTGAAGCAGTGCCATCCCATCAAACCAATGATTGTATCTTCGAACAGGAGAAAATAAATAAATAAATATTAGTAAGAAAACATGGGGTAAAAATGAGAGACAGAGTGATAGATCTTCATTTCAAATATAAAGATAAGGAAATGGGGCAGGTTCCCAGCACAATCTGAGTAGTCAGAGAATTTAAAATTATGGAAGGATAATATTTTGGGTATATCTTAGATATAAAAGGAAAGAATAATTTACATTCTCCTGACCCTTACCCCTGTCGAGAAGACCCTCACATTTTAGAAAACTCCTATGATGGTGAATCCTAAGAAAATTCTGATCTTTACTCCATGACTAAGAGAATAGCATGAGAAGTTATGGGATGCCTGACATTAACCAAATCAGAATAAGTTCCAGGCCGGGCACAGGGGCTCACCCTTGTAATTCCAGCAATTTAGGAGGCTAAGGTGGGTGGATTGCTTGAGACCAGCCTGGGCAACATGGCAAAACCCCATCTCATTAAAAAAAAAAAAAAAAAAAGAAAGAAAGAAAAGGAACGAGTTCCTAAGCTTTTAGACATAGTTATTTATCTTCATATCTTGTAAGTGTTAATGTTTCCATTTACTTTAAAAATTTTTCAGCTTTATCAAGATTATGCAAAAGTAGACAAATAAGATGACTGTCCTTCCTAGATATTCGTTCTTGTCCATATGATTACACTAGAAATGATCTACTTATATAGTTGAACATTGAAAACTGTAAGGAAAAGTTTGTGGCTTCGCTTTTTAAATGGTTTATTATATCGTCTCTTCTTTCATATGCTTAACACATTGAATTCTTAATGTTCTCAATATGGATAAACAAAGCTAACATCATTGTCTTAAAAGGCAAGGATTCCTAAAAACAGAGACTGGAAGAGATATTTGTACACCCATGTTCACAGCAACATTATTCACAATAGCCAAAGGGTGGAAGCAACTCAAGTGTCCATCAGTGGGTTGAATGCATCAACAAAATGTTTACATGCTACGCCAAAATGTGCCACTTTAACATAGTGATTATTTTGAGTTAAAAGGCATTTGAAAAACAGCAGATGCATGAAGAGCACCCTGACCTTCTTTATTTCTTCCTGAAAGCAGGAGATAAAACTCCCATGTGAAAGGTGCCCTCCCTGAACCAGAAATATTTATACCACCACAGGTGGGGAGTTGAGGCTGAGAAAATGAGAAAAAGCTGTGCAAATGAACCTCGTTAAACTAACCTTTATCTTCATCGTCACTTTCCCACAGTTAACTGCCCTGGCGCCTATTCCTTTGTCTTGTCACATTTTCACCTTTTACTACTCTTTGTCCAACCTAGTTTATAAGCTTTCAGCCCTAACTTATCCTTTGGCTCTTCATTTCTTTTGGGGGGTTGGCGGGTGTTCCAAGGTACAATGTAAAACTTACTAAATAAACTTTGTATGATTTTCTCTTATTAATCTGTCCTATGTCAGTTTAATTCTTGGGCTCAGCTGGAGACCCTACGGGGTAGGAGGGAAAATTTTGCCTCCCCAAAAACTTATACTGGAATATTACTTCCCCTTTAAAATGAAGGAAATCCTGTCACATGTTACAACATGAACGAACCATTGAGGACATTATGCTATATGAAATATGCCCGTCATAAAAAGACAAATACTGTATGATTCCACTTATGTAAGGTATTTAACGTAGTCAAATTCATAAAAACAGAAAGTAGAACAGTGGTCAACAGGAGTAAGGAGAAAAGAGGTGCTGTTTAATGAGCATAGAGTTTCAATTTCACAGAATGAAAAACTTCTAAAGATCTGTTTCACAACAAGACGAATATACTTAACAGTACTTAACTGTATACTTAAAAATGGTTAGGATAGTAAATTTTATGTTATATGTATTTTACCAGAATTTTCTTAATTGCAGGAAAGAAAAAAGTAAAAGTCCTTCTTTAGCCCAATGACTTGGGATACCAGTGTTATCAGGTGACTAAATTTCCTCAGGTTCCTGGGTTTACTTCTGGTCTTTCTATGTCATTCATCTATCGGTCTATTCTTGCACCAACATCACAACGTTTTAATTGTAAAGGCTTTATGGTGTATTTTAATATCTGGTAGGGCTAGGTGCACCCTCTGAAAAAATGTTTAGTGCTTTCTTGTCAATTCTTACATAGTTATTGTGCTATATGAACTTTAGGTATCAATTGGTCCAACTTTCTTAAAAAGCTTGTCGGAATTTTTATTAAGATTTTATTGGCTTTATAAATGGACTCAGGGAGAACTGGGACATCTCTATGATGTCCAATTACTCTATTCAAGAACAGGGATGGTCTTTCCATTTGTTCAAATTTGTCTTCCAAGAGTGTTTTAAAGTTTGCATATTTCTAAATTCATTGCTAGGTAATCTTCTTTGTTGCAATTGTGGTTTCTCTGCCATTATGTTCTCTGATTATTGCTTGCATATATGAAGGATATGATTTCAGTATGTTGATTTTATATCCTGTGACCTCATCTTTTATTGTTACATTTAGTTTTATCAGTGATTCTCTGTGGTTTTCCAGGATTCTAATATATCATCTGCAAAAAGAGATCATTTTACTTTACTAGTGCTTGTGCCTCTGGTCAGTGTCTTTCATTTCATTGCATTGCTACATCTGGTACAATGTTTAACCGTAGTGAAGACACTGACCATCCTTTCCTGCTTCTGGACTTGAAGAAGATACTGGTATATTTTCCAATTTAGTATTACTGCTTGTAGCACCAAGATATAATAGAGTTTTATAAGATATTTATGATATATATGATATACATATACCAAAATATGTATTTTTAAAAATACATACATATAAAATCCTTTTTTTTTTTAGACGGAGTTTTGCTGTTACCCAGACTGGAGTGCAATGGCACGATCTCGGCTCACCACAACCTCCGCCTCCTGGGTTCAGGCAATTCTCCTGCCTCAGCCTCCCGAGTAGCCAGGATTACAGGCACGCGCCACCACGCCCAGCTTATTTTTTGTATTTTTAGTAGAGACGGGGTTTCACCTTGTTGACCAGGATGGTCTCGATCTCTTGACCTCATGATCCACCCGCCTCAGCCTCCCAAAGTGCTGGGATTATAGGTGTGAGCCACCATGCCCGGCCTAAAATCATATTTAGAAACTATCCAACAAGTCCTATTTTCTTAAGCAATTTTTAGGAAGAATGGGTGTTAAATTTTCACAAAAGCTTTTTCAACCTTTATGGAGGTAATTCTGTGATTATTTTTCCTGGAACCTATTAATATGGGGTATTATATTAATGTATTTACTAATAATAAGCCCATCTCGTATTCTTGAAATTAATTCCACCTGATCATTTAATTTTATTTTAATGTGTTATTGAATTCTGTTTCTTACCAAAATATTTATTAGTCCTATATTAGTATTATATTTAGCCCTTTTTTTTTTTTTAAGAGACAGGGTCTTGCTTGGTGGCCCAGGCTGGAGTGTAGTGGCAATGTCATAGCTCACCACATCCTCAAACTTCTGGGCTGAAGTGATCCTCCCACCTCAGCCTCCCAAGTAGCTGAAACTACAGGGACATGCCACCACACTTCGCCACTTTTTAAATTTTTTTGCAAAGATGGAGTCTCACTATGTTGCCCAGGCTGGTCTCGAGCTCCTGGCCTCAAGAAATCCTCCTGCATCAGCATCCCAAAGTGCTGGGATTACAAGTGTGAGCCACAGTATTTGGCCTATTTTGTACTTTTTCATGGATAGTCATAACTAATATTAGTCTGCAGTTTTCTTTTTTAATGATCTCTGTCACATTTAGATATCAATGTGATGCTTCCTTCATAAAAACAATTAGGAAGTTTCCCTTCATTTCTGATGCTCTGAAATAATTTATAAAGTAATGGGACTATCTTACATTTGAAGGTTTGGTAGAATTCTGTGAAATAATCTGGGCCTGCTAATTTTTTTGAGAAATATTTACTTAACGAGGTTCCTATTTCTTCTACAGAAACTGGTCTACTTAAAACTTCTCTATCAATTTGGTTTAATTCATTTTATTTTTATTTTTGTATAAGGCCTGGCTATTCTGCCCAGGCTGATTTCGAACTCCTTTCCTCAAGCAGTCCTCCTCCCACACCCTCCCAAAGTGCTGAGGTTACCCTACCTTGACCTCCCAAAGTGCTGGGATTACAGGCATGAGCCACCACAGCTGGCCTCTGTCAATTTTGGTAATCTATTTTCCCTAAAGAATTATCCATTTTATCAAGGTTTTCAAATGTATTTGCATAAAGGCCTTCAAAGTCTCTTATAATTAATTTTTTTCTGCTTCAATGATTTCTTCTCCATTGTCATTTTATACTTTGCATATTTGTGCCTTTTCCCTTTTTCTTCTTGAGCATGTAAACGAATGGTTTGTCTACCTTGGTACTATTTTTCAAAAAAATTTACAGTAATTTCAAGAGGTTTTGCTACTTAATATATTTCAACTTGTTAGATTCTGTCTCAAGAGATCCTGTCATTCCATGCATTCATTTATTCAAGTCAACATATCCTTCAGTCCCTACTATCTGCCAGGCATTGTGCCAAGGTCAGCACTTACAAGCACATAAATAAGGGATACAAAATATTTGCAGCTACAAGGGAGAAATGTTATTTAAAAAAAAAAAAGCAATTTATGCAGAGAAGGAGCAACAGGATGGAAGGCTGGGGGAATCAGGAAAAGGTCAAGAGGGAAGGAGACATCTCGCCGTTTCTTTAAGGATGTCTGCCAGTTGCAGAGGGGACATGGGCAGGGGTGATGGAAGGAGGAAGGGTTGGAAGATATAGTATCTCAGAGGAACAGCCAGAGGAGGTAGCATGTGGGAGGAGCCGTCAGTGGCAGGTAGTGATGTTGAGAAACAGGTCAGTCCCCTACCACCAGCACTTAGACTAAGGCTTAATGACATTCAACAGAAAAGTTGTGAAACAGGAGAGTGAAACTGTATGACCGGCATCCCCAAATAAAAAGAACAGCACGCAGATTGAAGAAGGCAACGAGGAGCCC